GTTATTCATTTCAGATATTGAAGCATAGATTAATAATTTCATCCATATAAATGCCCAAAGTATTTTAAATTTTAAATTTTAGTACTACAAATTTACTTTTGTGAAAGAAAGAAAATATTATGATGGTGCTAAGATAAATGTGTGTATAAACTTTGGGGTATTTTTATTAGGGTGTTTACCTCACATTCCTTAAAAGTCTAGTGTATTTTAAATTATTTTCCCCATAAAAATATGACTAATTTTAAAAACTTGCGAGAAAAGGGACTACTACGACTTTTATACCCCAGCCAGTTACGGTGACACTCTGCTCTGTCCAGTGACTTGTCTCGTCAATTACCACCATTCCCAGAGACCAGTTGAAAAATCATCTCTCAGCGACACCACTACCCAGTGATGTGGGCTTGTGCCCCGTGCGCCAACCCAATGACCTAGTGAATATTGCTCAGCCGGTCAGTCACCCCACCGCTAACCAATGGTCAACAACCCCACCGCCAGCCACCGGTCCATGACCTCACCAACAAGTGCAAGAAATCAAAAAAAAAAAAAACATGACTGAAACCCTAGCACCCGCATTCAGCCTTAACAACCCTAGCCACTGTTAATGACTGGGGAGTTGGGAAACTGTTTTAGAAAATCTGGCGGATTTCTCAGAGTATCGTGTGATCACTTTTCGAATCTAATATTTCGACCCTATGCCTGGGTTACACGAAATTTAAATTATGGGGATAATCACTCTAAGAGACAGTCTAAAACTGAGGCACCAATATATAGACCACGAACTAGCAGTTTTAGTAGAACTCGAATTCTTCTGATTACCAAAGAGATAAGGCCAATCAGTTAGAGTTTTACTCTAACAGAAAGTCATTCTATTAAATAATTAATATGGACATGTTTATCCGAAAATAATGTTCCATATTTATTTCTTTAATAAAATAAAATTTTGGTCCGGGGCACTGCCCCGAGCCCCACGAGGGCGGCCTCCCTCGACCCCGCTCGCTGACCGGGCAGAGAGACCCCCGCCAGGGGCGCTGCCCCTTGGACCCCGCAAGGGGGCGCAACCCCCTTGACCCCCGCCATTTAATCGAACCAAGTTTAAATTTAATTTCGTACAAGTGTGCGCTTCGCACCTCCTAACTTGTCTAAAATTAAACTTGAACTCCATTGGTAATCTGTAAATTCCATTACACTAAAATGAACCTCGTGATACTAAAATCACCAACAGCCGCCATCACACAAAAACAAATTAATGGCGATGACCATTCAACAATCGATCCATCGAAAAAAGCGAAGAAGACGATTCAAAGTTTCGGATTTCGCTGCATTGTTGTTTATCTTTTAGGCTAGGAGGGCGGTGTCGGCATTTTGGAAAAGAAGAAACGAGAGGAAGAAGGCGAGCAGAGTTGTGACAGAAATGGGCAGGTGGGCTGCAGATGCTACAAAGATGCATAGGTGACGAGGATTGTCAATGTTGTAAGGCGAAGCTAGGGTGCAGTGGTCGATGTATCAGTGGAGCTAGCCAGCAGATGCCATTATTGCTGAGGTCGTCGCAAAGGAGAAGCAACACTTGGTCGCGGATGCCAATCCCAATCGCCAACTAAAGAATGAGAAGAAGATGAAGAACAACGGGGATAGCAATCGGCTACAGCGTGATATCCAGGAGAGAGAAAAGGTGATGGATATGGCATCATCAAGGGAGAAGAAGGTTGTTGTGGCACTAGGCATGTGATGTGAAGAAGAGGAAGGATAGGGGGTCATTTGAAGAAGGAGAAGGAGCTTAGGTAAGTCAAGTATCACTGGTACAAGAGTCTCTTTATTCATAATAAACCACTTTTCTGTCCAAGAATAATTATTAGTCACATTTTTGTCAAATATCAAAACTCATTAGTATTAGTTTTGTCATTCTTTCATTATTATGAGCAATGTTTATTCTTTTTTAATAATTGTAAAATTTAAGATGTAAGTTTTGTTGTAAAAATAAAATAAAATTTGGTTAAGTTGTACGTAATATTTGGTTAAGACATTCCATCTTTTCATCTGACCCTCCATTCCATATGAGCACTCTACCTAACTACACCTAATTCTAATTCCTCCTAACCTTCTCCAAACTCTTAAATACTCCGTAAATAAGAAAAGTTCTATTTGTGCACACTTTCTTATACACATCTAATGCATACCTCTCCGAAAAAGTTATTCTTCTATGTGTGAATCCATTATTTGATGAAACGTCTTTTCAAAGAGATGGGTAAAGAAGTCTAGAAGACTAAGGGACTGTTTACTTTTTTCTCATTAAGTTCTGAATGGATTAAGATGTTTGTCTGCATTAAGCTGTCTGTCTGGATTAAGTTACACTGAGATAACAAGCTGTTTACTAAGTGTGTTGAATGAGAAGTCTGAATCATGTCTAATTACCAAATAACCCTCATGTCTGTAACAAGTGTTGAATGTATATTGTCTGTTTACTTTCTTTGTTCTGAAAGATAAAATTTACGGAGTATATACCAGAAAATACTAATACTATGAATTACTTAAACAAAAGAGTCATATTGCATGATAAAACAAGATCATGAGTTTTACGAGAACGACATTTTAAATTTAAACATTTCATACTAGTGTATTAACAATTTCATCCCGCAAATTCACCATATATTGTAGACTTTGTATACCGCATTGTGCTCCATGTACTTCCTCTTCAATCTCTTCAACTTCCTCTTGTGCTTGATTGTTGATTGCATTGTCATTATCCATTGGAGGATGTCTTCAAGGGTTGCAGCAAAGGCAAAAAGTTCTTTGGCGGAGATAGGATTGAGTATGTGGACATTGCTTTGGGAAGCCTCATAGGTTGGTTCCCAAGTATCTCAAATTAATGGAGTGAGATATGAGTTACAAGGAATCTGTAACTCATCCCCTCCCCCGCCCCTTATTATCCCATATCTCCCCCAACCAACCAAACACACAACACTCCTTCGGCTTACCAACTTCACTCCTTCCACCCATCCAAACCAAATAAGAGCTAAGACTTGGTTGTGGTTCTTATTATTTTTAGGTTACTTCTTGTATGTGTGGTTGATCCACCCCACCAAGCACCCTATGCAAAAATCTGTCCACAATAGATATAAAATCTTCCACTTTCTCTTCATGAGGCAAGTGACCAGAATTCTTGATTAATTCATAGCAAGCTCCCGGAATAGCTCGGGACAATCTTTCAGAGTTTCAAGTAGGGACTAGTCAGTTTCTGTCTCCCGTGATGATTAACACTTTAAGCAACATAAATATCAAATGAGTGATAATTTTTAAATAATTATCTTCATTAAAAATATTTGATTCTAATTACTAAACTCATCATCACATTTTGCTTTTCATTACAACGTTCTTGCTCCTATTAATTGGCCGTATAAAGAATTTGTGAATCATAATCACTTTTATCCCAAAGTCTTTCAATCCAACAAATGTAAGTCTCTACTTTCATGCCAACTCGTTCAAAGAAAAGAGTAAAATGATTAATAATCTGGACATGAGATTTCACTCAATCTTTCTGAAAGTGGTGGCTTTGATACCAACTTTGAATCTGTAAACATTGACACTGTGTGTTCAACAAGACCTGCATCCCATCCTTTCACTCCCAGAGGCTGTCAATTTGATAGTATGACAGATTACATCAAAAGTGAATTTAAAGGAAAATATGTTTTTTTTTTTGTAAATAAAAGCGGCCCTATTAAAATCAGTATATATACATACAATTTACATAGGGTTTGTTGCCTGGAATTTCCCGAAATAATAATACTCCGTAAGAACAAATACTCTTTTAGTAGACTCACCTTTGTGTAGCCTTGTAAGATATGGTCGGTCACTTGCTTGGGGTCATACCAAGAATTGCGAACAGCCCCTACTCCAAACTTATCAATTAGTACCTCTGTCCCGCTATGATTGTCTCATTTTACCTTATCGGTCCGTCCCACTAAGATTGTCTTATACCAAATTTGGTAATGTTTGTGTGACTCTAAATCATTCTTATTTTATTCTTACTTTATCAATTCAATATCAACCACATAAACTGTTTTTTATTAATTTGCGTGACACTCTCTCTTGTCCCATTGTTAGCGGGACGGAGGGAGTATCATTCTTCACTTGGCAAGAGCATTAAGGTTAGAGAAGAAGTGTTAGCGAAGAAGGTTAGCGGCGAAGAAGGTTAGCGAAACGAATGAGGGTTAAAAAAGAGAGAGGCGATACATATGAATGTCTGAATCGTAAGGACGGCTGAATTTGGGCTGAACTATTAAGTCAAAAATGGTCCGAGCGAATAAGTCATGTTTTAAAATAAGTCCTAAGTAAACAAGAGTATATGACTCACCGAATAAGTCATTGTTTTCATTCGGACCATTAAGTAGAAAGTAAACCGCATCAGTTTCGCTTGATCCAAAAGGTAGAATCTCCTACCCCAGGAGCCCCCACCCCGACCCGATAGGATGGTGGGGAAGTTAATCACGGTGACTCAGTCAGCAAAACGACGGTAGGCCTTATACGCGTGCGCACCAGTGGTCCAGCCTTATTTTAAGTTCTGTAACCTTCACACGGCCGCTGCGGGTTTCGAACCTTGATCACTTGATCCAATTTTCTCATCACTCGATCAACTGAACTATCCGTGCGGGTTCAGTTTCGCTGTCAAAAGCTGATTGGGGGAGCAAGTTTCTTGCTTATAGTCAGACTGAAAATATGCTTTTCCTATTCCAGATTTAATTCCCTCCGGGTCTACGTTCTGCTGGATAAATGCAGAGGAGGCGGGGCGGGTCAAGTGGGGGGCAAACTCTCATCATTCAAAGCTCGAAAAAGAGAAAGTGAAAGCTCAATAATCCCACACATTCCTGGCCACAGAATCTCAGCGGCCACCACGCAGCCACACACGGCACATGCTTCCGGGCCCACAATCGATGTGCTGCGTCAACCAGATTCCAGCATTTGATGCGCCTCACCACCCCCGATTCGCCCTTATCTTAACTGCGCTTTATCTCGTTCACATTCATCTCTGGGAGAAATTGATTGATCGGAGAAGATGAAGATTCAGTGTGATGTGTGTGAGAAAGCATCGGCCACAGTGATATGTTGTGCAGATGAGGCAGCACTTTGTGCGAAATGCGATGTAGAAGTTCATGCTGCTAATAAGCTAGCCAGCAAGCACCAGAGGCTTCTTCTTCAGTGCCTCTCCGACAAGCTTCCTCCCTGTGACATTTGTCAAGTATGGTTTCTTTTTAGATTGTGGAAAATAGATTTTTTGTTTATGTAATTATTATATTTGCGATTCAATGAACCTAGTATTGCATACCTGCCCCTTTAAAAAAACTTGAAGTACTCTCTATCTTTTTTACTCTTAAATAAGTATGCTGTTTTTTTGCTTTTTTATTTAAGAATGCTGTTTTGACATCTTTGTTTTAGATATGTGAAAATTAAATCAAACTGGAAGTTCTTTAAATCATATTCATGTTTTGAAATTAGCTGTCTGGTCTGTTTTGTTTTAAAATATTATTTTAATCTAGTACTCTCTTATACTGAGTATGAGGTATTTCTTTTGTGGACTAAATGATATTCATGCTTTGAAATTATCCGTCCTGGTATGTTATGTTTAAATCTTTTAAATTTGGTACTGCCTATTTCAACTGGTCCGGTTTGATATCATGTGTATTTTACTTTGTGTTTAGTTTTGATTTGGTTTGTTTAAGTTTGGTAGACAAAAACAAAAACATCATAAATAAATATTCACAACACTGTTCTAGATTTTTTATGTTTTTGAAAATATGTACAATATTAATGATTGATTAACTATCCCTAATAAAACTTAAACTAGTAATTGTAATTACAGATTACATATTTTGGAATTGTACTATTTCTTTATAAATTATACTCTACTAATTTTATACTCGTATTAAAGTTATACTAGTATTTTGAATATTACAACAGTTTGGTACTTGAATTGTGAGATCGAAAAGAAATTGAGCAGAGTTCATGAATAGTAACTATGAAGTATATTTAGAGATATTATACATAATATGAAAAAATACCTAGTACAAAAATTAATAAAGATATCTTGTGGATTAATTGGACGAATAAAACAAACAAAAATGGGAGAGTAACAATTATTTTTTTATCTGCTAAAAAATAATGTTCATAGGTCTGATGTGACCATTTGATGAATTACTCCAAAGTTTGCAATTTTACATGTACTAATATTACTTCATATTTTCACTATATTAGAGTACGTTTGGCCAATATAATGGTGTGGATTCTCCTAATTTTTGAAATGGAGGAAACCATACGGTTCATCCCGCCAACATACTTCATTTATTTACAGAAAAATTGTTTCTGATCACTTGTGTCTTGCTCATTGTGACATTTGCAGGAGAAAGCAGCATTTATATTCTGTGTGGAGGACAGAGCTCTCTTTTGTAAGGATTGTGATGAGCCAATTCATTCAGCTAATAGCCTTGCTGCTAACCACCAACGGTTTCTGGCCACCGGAATTCGAGTGGCACTGAGTTCCAGCTGCAACAAGGATGCCCCGAAAGGGAAATTAGAGGAACCACAGCCCCCCAAATCTAACTCGCAGCAGGTTGCCGTCAAAACTTCTTCCCAACAATTGTCTGGTTTCACATCTCCTTCTTGGGCCGTTGACGATTTAATGGGGTTTTCTGATTATAATCCCTCACAGAAGGTAATTAATGATGCTTTCTACATTCTCGTTCTAAATTCCTATGCATGTGTTAAACTAACATTAAGGGCCTGTTTGGTAAGGCTTCTTTGGATGAAAAGGTGGTGGCCGAATCTTGTGAAAGCGTTTGGTGACACTCGTTTCTGTCATATAAATAAGTCAAAAGCTATTTTTCTTCTTCATTCACCGATAAGCACAATAAGCCAGATACGACTTTCATAAGGAGCATAAAAGACTAAAGAGAGATGTGATAAAAGAATATGACTTTAATACATGTAAATTAGCGAGCACACTAATGGACCCATTTGGGACCCATTTGGAACTTGGAAAATTCTTGGATTATATAACTATTAACCGTTGGTGATTTTAGTATCACCAGGTTCATTTTAGTGTAATGGAATTTACAGATTACCAATGGAGTTCAAGTTTAATTTTAGACAAGTTAGGAGGTGCGGAGCGCACACTTGTACGAAATTAAATTTAAACTTGGTTCGATTAAATGGCGAGGGTCAAGGGGGCTGCGCCCCCTTGTGGGGTCCAAGGGGCAGCGCCCCTGGCAGGGTCCAAGGGGCAGGGTCCAAGGGGCAGCGCCCCTGGCGGGTGTCACCAAACGTGTCCATATTAATTATTTAATAGAATGACTTTCTATTAATTATGGGCATTTTCGGATAAACATGTCCATATTAATTATTTAATAGAATGACTTTCTGTTAGAGTAAAACTCTAACTGATTGGCCTTATCTCTTTGGTAATCAGAAGAATTCGAGTTCTACTAAAACTGCTAGTTCGTGGTCTATATATTGGTGCCTCAGTTTTAGACTGTCTCTCAGAGTGATTATCCCCATAATCTAAATCTCGTGTAACCCAGGCATAGGGTCGAAATATTAGATTCGGAAAGTGATCACACGATACTCTGAGAAATCCGCCAGATTTTCTAAAACAGTTTCAACTCCCCAGTTCTAACATTAACTACTTATATCCGTAGTAGATAATCCATTGAATTTTATCTTTTAGAGTTCATTTGGAACATGGAAAATTCTTGGAATGACACTTGGAATAAAAGAATATGTTGAAGAAAATATAATGTTAGCCCAAACTGAATAAGTTTATTATTAATATTTATTCAACTTTATTGTTATTTATTTATTTATTTATTTCAATTTGAAACATATTAAGAAATCTGGACGTGGATAAAAAGAATTAACAATACGTAGTTCATTAATCTTTACATTTCAGAGTTAAACCTGAACATACAAAATCAAAAGGCTAAAGGGTCAAATAGGCCCTTGAACTGACTTAAAGTGTTCAATTAGCCCCTTATATAGGAGGTTATGTCCGGCAGTCGCTAATTGGAGCGGTTTCCGGTGGAATTTTTTTATGAGCATCTTCTTCATTAAGTCTAGTTTACCCATACCAAATTTCAGCTAAAAATTCAACCGGGAAGACATCAAATGATTTTCCGAAATGTACTGCGCTGTTTAACTTCTCAGTTATCTTCAAAAAATCATTTGACTGCCTTGACGGTTAAATTTTTATTTAAAATTTGGTATGAGTAAACTAGACTTAATGAAGAAGATGCTCAAAAAATTTCATCAAAAAATTTCACCGGGAACCGGCCCAATTAGCGACGGACAGTCAGAACCTCCTATATAAGGGTCTAATTGAACACTTTAAGTCAGTTCAAGGGCCTATTTGCCCCTTTAGCCAAATCAAAATAACTTGCCTTAGCATTTTCCTTCATTTCCATTGCATTTTGCCATATTGGAGGATCCAAACATAGGTTTGGTGCATTTTCATCATGTGCTTTATGCCTTTATGATCCGTTTGGTGACACCAACCCAGTTATGAAACTTGAAACACAATATTTTCTATTAAAATTCCCACATATAACATATGTACTTTAGTACTTATCATGAATCATGCAGTACTACGTATAAATCTTTGATTATCCATAAATGCCTATGATGCACTATTTACTTTCCATGGAAAGTAAATCTCTTTCCATCTATTTATTTTTCCTTGTAACAAACACAAATTTAGCTTGTCCGGAAAGTAGTCAAAGTTGGGTTAAATTTCTTTCTGTGGAAGGTGAATGACAAAAGGGTGGTAGGAAAGTGGATTAAATTCCCTTTGACATTTGACAATATAGCTGGGAGATTACAGAACGCCTTCTATAAGTTCATGCTTTGTGTGGGGATTGTTGAATTATCAGTCGCTTGACCTTGTAGCAATTTCTGCAGAAGGAGCAGCTTGGGATTGGTGACCTTGAATGGTTGACTAATATGGGTCTGTTCGGAGAACATGAAGTACCACAACTATGTACTCAGTCTAGCAACACAAACATAAACAAGTCAACCAAATTCTACATGCCTCACAAGAGGGCGAGGGTGGATTCGCCCGATGAAAGTGATTTCTTTACAGTTCCAGATCTTGGTTAATGGAATCAAATGTAATGAGTAATGACAAATTCGTTCTTCTAACATATTTTGGCAGTAGTTGAACTATGCATATCTACTATTTTGGGAGCAAGATCTTGTATTCCAAAACCGTATTCCATCGGGTATGTGTTTAATTTCAATAGTTCCATCGTCACCACATGTAATTGCGTGTCATGTGGTGCGGTGGCGGCAATCCAACAATTGGAATACTGTTTGGGAATATAAAATTTCATTTATGATATTTTGTATCTGTCAAAAACAATGCAAGCGTGCCTTGTGAATTGTGATTCTTCATAGGGGTTATGTCTATTCGGGTGGAATTCTCAGCTTCTCCTTTTGTTTTGCATTCAATTCTTTGCTTATGATAAATTGCCTTTATTCGATTTGTAGTTCTTTCCTCTCGTGTTTGCTCTTCTTGGGCTGTAAGGTAAATTTGTTTTCTAGTGGCTCTCCATAATAGATTAAGAATGTTTTTACTTGGATTGGAATTTGCTGGTCTGATATGGTCTGAACTGGCCTGGTCTTATTTCTTTGTATTTTTATAAGTATCCAAGTCTGGTTTGAGCTGGTCTGGTCTGGGAGGAATTACGGTCCAAGTAAAAACATTCTAATAGATACATGAGTATACCAACAGAAAGTGTGTATGTAGTTTGAGCGTAAATATGAAAAACCTGTTGGTATCATTGAAATACAGGCAATCTACCAAAATGTTATTTTAACAATAACATCCAAGCCTTATTTCCAATAGACGTTTGCATCTGTTTAATTATAAAAAGATTATGTTATGTATAAAATATATGTTATTAATATCATAGAATTATAGAAATATATATGAATAATTACAAACATGGCCCTCTAGAGTTATACGGAGTATATGGCAATTCTATCAGGAATAAAGTAACATCAATATTATTTTTCTATCATTACATAGTTCAGCATACGAAATAAAAAATTGTTGTTTTAATACTCTGTAAAACAATTGGCTAATGAAGATTAAAAAAAATTACCGAATGGGCTTGAAGAAACACAGACCAATATCCATGTCGTGCAATTATGTATGTACAACTATGATTTTAATTTTAAAAAACTCTTAGAACTTAGCCTCTTCAACATATTTATTACTCCGTAGTTATTATTGTATTATCTTTGTCTCATTCCATGTGTCTTATTTGGATTTGACACAATTTTTAATCAGAAATTTTATAATGCTCGTGCTCGTTAGAGAGCACGTAAGTACCTCCGTACGACCCACAAACAAGATTAAAAAAATTAGTGGTCCTCTCACGTATTCCTAAATTTACTCTATGCATACAGATGCATATTATTCTGCATAACATTTAAAGTACTACTCCGTAACATAGAAGTAACTTAATAATAATAATAATAATAATAATAATAATAATAATAATACATTTTGTTCTTTCAACTAATTATAAGGGATTGATGTTTACTTCTGTTGGATGTTGGGTGTATTTATGTATACAAAGTAAAAAAAAAGTATTTCATTCATTTTTTAAATTATCGTTGGGGAATATTATTACGGCCTACTACTGTTCAGAGGGCCAGAGGTCCAAGGCATCACCACGATATGGAGCCCAGTCGACGAGGCCCATTTAGGCCTACCTGACCCCTTTCGGCCGAACCAACCCATATTAGGCCCATTTAGGCCCATTGGCCCATTTAGGCCCCTCCCCTTCTATAGATAGGAGAAGGAAAGGCCTTCTCCAGGATGGCTTCTTCACCACTTCTCCTTCTTTATCTTTCTAGATTAGTTATTTCAAACTCCATTAATGGAAGCTCCAAGAGATGTACTATGTAAATGGTGAGGAGATGATTAATGAGAAAGAGCGGACTTGGACGTTAGCCTAAAAAGTCCCGTGGTTTTCTCTCTTTCTGAGTTTTCACGTAAAAACAAAGCATTTCATACATATTAATGAGAAAGAGCGGGCTTGAATCTATTAGTCATATTTTTCCCATCTATACTTTTAATGTAATGCAAAATACTAATTGTGGGCATCAAAATAGTTGCAGCCATCAATTCTATTAATAAAATATATTTTGAAATACTTCTGTTTTCAAGATTCGACAAATTCACTCATTTAGCCACTTTAACCATCATTCGATCAATTTCAGCAGATTCAGCCGATTTTAATGTTATCAAACGAGTTATAATATTTCCATATCAACATCAAAATATGGCAACATACTTTTATGATGAAAATAATTTACCCCTATATAGAGCTGCATCATCAACAACAACATCAAAGTTTTAGTCTCAAAAGATTTTGATCAACTAACATGAATCGATACATGATATCAGAATAAAAATGAAAATAAAGATAAGAAAGACCTTGTTTATACTTTTGTTTTTGGAAATTTCCCGTTGAAGTTTAATCTTTCAACCCGTAGGCCCAATAATTACGAAAATGTCAGTCATTTTGTCACTTTATCTTGTTGTTTATTACTATAGTAAATTTAGTCAATATAAACATCTAAAGTAAATTTAGTATCATAGCCTATTTTAGTGAACTATCAAGTTTGAGAAACAATAATTGAAAAATCACCACCAATGTTGTTAATTTATCCTACATGCATGCTTCGTATAAAATAAATAAGATACTCTAAACTTGTCAACATTGTATAAATATCTCCTACTTTGTAAAATTGAGATATTTATGCCCCATGTCCTACTACACCATCTAAGAAAGCACACATTTTTTGGGAATCATGCATTTTTTCCCCAACTAAATCTATTTAACTGGTTTTAATTTGAGAAATATTATTTGTTAATAAAAATATGGTACAAAAAGTTTAAATAAATAAAATTGGAGGTATTTTTTAAACTAGGACAAGTATGAGGTTGGGAGCTCACACCAAGGCAAAGTTTAGGATATATATTATTTATTTTCCCCTATCATCATTATCATTATCATCATCATCACCATCATCATCATCATCATCATGATCATCATCATCATCATCAAGTTACTTCTATGTTATGGAGCAGTACTTTAAATGTTATGCGGAATAATATGTATCTTTATGCATAGAGTAAATCTAGGAATACGTGAGAGGACCACTAATTTTTTTTAATCTTGTTTGGGGGTTGTACGGAAGTATGACGTGCTCTCTAACGAGCACGTTAAGGGCATTATAAAATTTCTGATTTTTAATGATGTGGTTACAATTAAAATTGAGAAGAATAAAGTAAAGTATTGTGAAACACATATTTTTCTTTTTCAAAAAAATGATACTCCCTCCGGATCTTTTTAAACTTCACGGTTTGACTTCACATTGATTAAAAAAATTATTTTGACTTTACTGTAGAGTACATTGTTTGACACTGTTTGTCACTGTTGAGACATTGTTTCACACTGTTGAGATATTGTTTGACACTGTTTAGCACTGTTTAACTCTGTTTTGATGTAGATTTCTTTACCAAATAAGGAAATAAGGAAGTGTGAAATTTATTTTAGACCGTCCAAAAAAAGGAAAATGTGAAGTTTAAAAAGATCCGGAGGAAGTAGTTATTTTGAAACAAGTCAAAAAGAAAAGCAAGATACGTGAAGTGGAACTAAGGAAGTACAAATAGAATTATTCTAACCAAACCGGACTTTTCTCAGGGCAATCACGAAATTTGAGTGAAAGTTTATCTCTCTCACTTTTAAAAAAGGGAAATTTTACGATGCAGGCACCTTCCGAGACGTTTTGGTGCATCTTACACTCGGCGCAAGTTGATTGGTTCTTTATTCCACCTCATATATTTTCCTATTTTTTAAAAAAATTGCATAAAAGTCCTTCCATATTTACGGCTCCCCTTCCAAATTCATCTAACCTCTGCCTTATTTTCGGCCGCCTGTACGAGGAGTAGTGAACCCAGAAGGAAGACAAAGGAAGGAGAAGAGCTCCATCCTGCAAACTTTGCAAGTTCTTCCTCACCCTCCTCTCCCCTACATCCTCCTAGAAGAGTGCCGCAGAGCCAATCTTCAACAAAATTGCAACCACGGGTGGCTTAATCGACTTCTCAAAGACTCTAGGTAGCCAGGTAGGCTACCTTTTCTTGTAAAATTTTACCCTAATTGATGATTTTTTAAATTTCTTACCCTAATTTTAATGTTAGATGGTGAGTACTGGTCTATTGTCACTTTAATGAAACTACATATACTAATTTTTATTATTACGACTAGATGATTAGGAAGTGGAATTGGCCTCTCTTTATTTCCATTTCATCAAGTATGATTACGCTTTTTCCAGCTTCACTGAATTCCCGGACTACTTATCGAACTCTTGAACTTAGCAGGCTCTGGATTCTGGAGGCAGCCACACAAACTCTCGTCATCTTTAGGGAATGATGCTGGTAAAGGAAATCTTCTTATAGTTTATTGAAAATTTTTTCTTTCTTTTTCAACCAATTCCAGTTTGATCAGCTATAATCATCTAACTGTGTGCTAATTTTAGCTGTGACTTTAATTTATTAGCCCTTATAATTGGTAGTGAGTGCTAGTGTTACTAACTTTTATTTAGGCTCCACTATTTATAATGACGTGTTGGACTTCACACTAGTATTATGATCCACACATGCTAGTTTGATTCACACCTGCTATTTCAATTCTAATTACTATTTTATGTGTTGTTCTTCGCACTATTATTATAAGTGTACAGGAATTTGTCCTCTAAAGTAATCGGTAAGTTTTGATGTAATTGAAGTGTAAATAATCGGTGTTAACTATAATTGAGTCTTTTATTTGAACGTCCAGTTTATAAACAAAAGGGAAGAAGCGGTGGAAGACGTAGCAGAAGTGGACAAAGTGGAAGAGGTGACGATTGTGAAAGAGTTGGAAGAAGCGGAAGAGGTGCTAGGGCTGCTAGTGGTACCACTGATGGAGTATATGGCCCGGGAACCCCCGACCCACAGACTCCTACTACACCAATAAAGGCCCAACCGGCCCAGGAAGCACAGCAGGCCCCAAATTACGGCACCCCAAGCACTTAGAAGCCCAAAGCGCACACTGGGGAGCCTTCGGCCCCCTGGCCGAAGGCTCAAAACTCTCACAGAATGGGTTTTCAAGCAAACTAAGAAAGTGGGAGAAAAACGGCAGAAAACAGTAGCCCTCGGCACCTGGAGCCCTCGGCACCAAGGGGTCCCCGGTACTCAGAGCCCTCGGCTAGTCCTCTAACAGCCGAGGGCACCTTTCCCGACATGATATCCGCGCCACATGCGTACAGATCACCGTACCCTGTACAACGTCCCATCCAACAGCCGCATTAAATGCGGCCACATGCGGTTGCCAGCGCCAACCAGATGAGGTGACCTCTCGGCCAATGGACGCTTGACACGTGTCCCTGTCCGGCATTTATTGCTACTATAAATAGCACCCCTTTTCCCCATTTGTAACC